AATTCTTGTTTATGTCTGTGGTGGATTCAGACATTCATTCTTCAGTCTTGTCTCTACTCCTATTATTCTACTATTATTAATGTGATGACTGGTAATTCTTTACTAGTGTTCAACATGAAGTTCATAGTGATGTGTTCTTAAATATTAATAGAAAACTACTTTGGAAGCAGCTCTTCCAAAGGACAGTAACCTGTGTAATGCTGTCCCAGGCTAATCTTTTCAGTATTGCTTTTATTAACCATTGAACACCAAAATGCATCCAGAACACAGGAGAAAAACAGGCAGGATTAAAAGGTTGAGATAGTAGAATGTAACTGAGTTTCTGAGCAAATCTGATTTTTTTTCCCCAGCCAGCTTACTTACATTTTAAGTTTGAGGACTCCATTTTAAATACAAAAATATTCAGTATAATTAAGTGTCCTCAACCATTACCCCTCTGGGCTTCTCAAATTGGTGCTCAACCCTGGCTCTAGTCCTCAAACAATAAACGTACTTAAGTAAGCACATAAACTTACTCTCTACTTAGAAATGATCCACATAATATTTAATGGAGCTACCGGGACTTCCAGTTAAATAAGCGTAGGGTTATTGCGTCGTCCAGGGTAACCTAGCTGACCCCTGGCTAATCTTGGAAAGGTAAAGAAAGTTGGACGTGTGTAGCCGCTGGATAGGAGACCAGCCGCAAACCACTTCCGTACTGGTGCCCGAAGGGAACCCAACTGGAAGGAGACAAAGGTATTGCCCGAATCTCCGCTGACCAATAGGAAGGCGAAGTTCTCTGTTGGGAGAAAAAAATCAGACCCTTTCAGCGGCACCCGACCACCCGCAGCGAGGTGGCTGTTTCTCCGCCGAACGGCGGCGGCGCTGTTGCAACTGACGGCACGGTTTCGCAGCACCGGTTTAGGCGCCTGGCGGGGTGGTCTGGCAAGGAGAGAGGGACGAGGAAGTGCCTCGGCTCCGCCCGTTGTCCCGGAAGTGCCGGTGGACGATGGCTCCCAGGCGGTAGTTAGCCGGCGCGGCGTCGGGTCGAAAGAAGCTGCGGCTTCCCGACTCTTCGCGGGATGGCGGAGCGCGGCATCGGCTCCTCGGAGCATCTGGAGCGGCTGCACGAGATTTTTCGCGGCCTGCATGGGGAGCTGCAAAGCGCCCCGGAGAGGCTGCGCGGGAGCCTGGCGGTTGGTACGCGAGCAGGCAGCGCTCAGGTCCTGCGGGGGGAGGGAGTCCTTCCCGTGTTCGGCTTCGGCCTCCCTGCGCGGGGCCGCGGACATTTCCTAGCAAGCGAGGAGGTCGCTGCTGGAGTCGAGAGGGGAGCTGCTTTGCTGAGGATTACCGCGTGCCGGTAAAATGTATTGAAAGTAAAGCTGACAGTAAAAAGGCACGAATGGTGTGAATGAACTAAATCTGTAGGTTGCTTACAAGTTATATGAAGGGATGCAGGTCCATACAACAGGGATTACCCTGCATATTTGCTTTCCAGAACAGATTTGGGTATGTGTGGAGAGAAAAAATAATTGTTTTGGCCTGTATTGTTCCCTCAGTAGAACAATACTTTTGAATACAGCCCATTGTCTAATAAGCTATAGGTATAAAATAGCTATTTGCATGGGGTCTGCTCATCTACAGCACTAGAGATGACAATGCATTAGTTTCTGGGGACATCTGAATGTATTTGAGTGAAAGTGACAGGAAAAACAAGGCAATGATGTAAAGGATTTCCCATGGTTTTCTATATTTTTTCCTGGATTGGTAGAAAGTTTTTTTTTAAATAACTTTGTTGTACCTGCTTGAGGGCTGATATCAAGACACACTGACCTAGACATCAACATAAGAAATTTATGCATAAGAAATGCATAAATAAAAATGCATTTAGCCAGGGATCCTATCAGTTTAGGGCAAGGTGAGCAGCTCCAGGTCTACATATGGCACTCTGTCTCTAATTACTGGAAATTAGCAGCAGACTTTCTCACCACTTTGAGATGGGAAGCACTTCAAATGTTAATATAAGCCCTCAAGCAGGCACAACAAAGCTATAAAGAATATATTTGTCTAGGATTTTTTTTGGCACTGCTGATATTTTATTTTGTCCTTTGATGAAAATTTACTTTTTTTCTTATTTATCTTGCAGAGGAGAAAAAAAAGTTAATCCGAGAATTTGATGAAAAACTAAAAGAAGCAAATGAAACAGTAAGGATATGAACTATTCTTTGAGAAACTTTAGAATCCTAGTGGATATGAAACCAATTTAATTAAAAGTGTTTTAAACACTGTGGACTTTAATAAAGTGCTTAGTATTGATTGAGGTCGGTGTTCTCATCTGTGGCAACTCTAAGATATGTGGACTTCAACTCCCAGAATTCCCCAGCCAGCATGGGGATTTCAACTCTGGGAGCTGAAGTCCACACATCTTAGTTGCCAAGGCTGAGAAACACTGGATTAAAGTAATGCATTTCAAAAACATTTTCCCTCTTTTCTCTTTTTCCCATTTAACAATGTGTCCAGACGAGCCAAAGCCAGTACTTCAAATAGCCATTAGAACTGCCTGCTACTCTGCCTTCTGCTAAAAAAAAACAGTTTAAACACATACTAGATTTTTTTTTTCTGAATTAGGCTTAAAGATAATTATTTATATTTAAAACACTACAAAGATAATTGCATTGCAAACTGTTTTTGAAATTTATCTTGCTTTACAATGAAGATTGCTATGCAGCAAGGTGAGATATCATTCTTTTGATTCTGGTCTTTGTTTTTGTTATCAAAGTGATAATGCTGTGTTTGGCTATGCCACTTCAAAATAGTTAATTTTTTCGTCAGGAAAATAACATTGCTTTCACATAGGAAAAAAGATGACAGGAAAATGATTGCAGCCTAGTTTTCTCCCTGATGTGTTGTTTCCTATATGCTGTAGCTTTTTTACTTTTGAAACAGATAAAATAAGCAAGTTCCATATGTTTTAGAAACAACTGTATTTTTATAGCCTTTTGTGAATCTTATCTTTTCCATTGCTTTTGTATAAGTAAAATTTGTAATTTGCTACTTGGGCCTTTTGGCTATAAATAAAGGAAGTTAACAGTATAAGTAAAATGAAAATGTTTAAAGTGTTATCTCTTTTTTGGTTTTTAGTGTCATTGCATGAGATATTTTTAAGTTGGTAGAGTACTTTTTCTAAATGTATTCAGTTTTGGCTGGAGTTTCTTTACCAAGGCAAAGAATACAATAATTTGCCTAAAGCAAAACCATAGGGTACAAATTTTACAAATAAGGAAATGAATTGCTAAATAGATTATATTTTAAATTTTAATCACAGAGACTAGTGAAATAATGTGATTCTTAAGAAATTTGAGTGGGTTTTGGGTTTTTTTGCAAAAATGGTCTCTGATGTGATGTTTATGGTAGATTAACCATTTTCAGATTGGATTTACATATTTCAAATACAAATGTAATAAGGATTTTGATACATGTTTACTTTTAAAACTTATTCAAGTTACGGGAAATGGAGGAAGAACTGAAATATGCCCCAGTGTCCTTCCGCAATCAAATGATGGTCAAAATTCGGACTTACAAAGGAGACCTTAGCACATTCCATAGGAAAATGAAAAGTATGGATTTGGGAGTAGTTCCAAGTGCACGTGGGAATTCAAAATTTGGAATCTTCTCTACAGAAAATGAGCAGAGAGTAAGTACTAAGTATACTATTATTTTTAAGGTTGTTTTGATAGCAATGCTCTTCAGGTTCTTATTCAGGAAAGTGTGCAGAGGCTCAGCTCATCGTGAAAACTTAAGAAGAAGGCATGTAGAGAAGAGACAAATTGGTTTATGGATTGATTAGAGTTATAAGAGTTAATGCAAAAGTATATATGTCCTTATCTTAATGGCTTGGTGCATTGGAAGCAAGCTTAGCTTCTTCTGAAAAAAATGAGGGGATAAAAAGAAAAAGGAATGGAGGGGGTGAGGGCTTAGTTGAGTAGCAAATGTGAAGATCCCTCCTTCCTGAATACCAGGAATCTTTGCTGCTTTCCAAATTCTGCAAACAGTAAAGGTTTTCGTAAGTCTTCATTGAAGAATTTAGCAAATTAAAAGAAAACACAACCAACTTCTCACTTTGAGATCTGAGAAATTATTGATAATGTGTCAGAAAAAAATAAAAGGAAAAATCTGTTTTTTCCTTCTCTTTCCTTGGCTGAGGGGAGGAAAAAAAATTCTTCAACATAATGATCAGTGAGGGACAGGATCTCTCAATTATTATCCAAATCAGCTATATTTAGTTTATTGGATTTGACAACATCAGTAAGAAGTGTAAACCTGAACACTGGAATTAGATATTATTCCAATGTTTCCAAATTTAGTCTGTTTCTTTCAAATTCCTTGTCAAAAAGTTAAGTAAAGTACAGAAGTGTGGAAGTTTTAAACCTGCATTAGTAATTAGTGACTATTTTTTCAGCTCTTGCAGTTATGTATTGTCTGCAATTTTATAAAAGTTAACAGGGAGTGGAGATAAGAGTTCACCAAAAGTGCTTGCAGAAGCTCACTTTTTTTATTTATTACATTAATTTTTGTGCCACCTCCTAGGACTCTAGGTAGCTCAGAATAAAATCAACTACAAGCCATTAAAATATAACATTAAAAATAACATAAATTAAAAAACAAAAGCCCATCATGTGGCCCCAATCTTTAAAACAGTTCCCCAATCTTTTCTCCAAAGACCTATTGAAAAGCAGAGACCTGAGAATTTCTTCCCTGAATTTCAGTGATGGAGAATATTCTTTTGTGCCTTTGTCAAGCTGGAATGGAGCCTCTACTTTGAACTGCAGAGTATCTTTAACAAAATATGGAAGAACCAACAGCAAATAGTATCTTTAGTAATAAGCTCAAGCCTGAACTTTTGATGTTGTCTTCCACATTGATAATGATGATTAAGAAATTGATCCATAATATGCACCAGAACATACAGTGGGGCAAAAAAGTATTTAGTCAGCCACCAATTGTACAAGTTCTCCCACTTAAAAAGATGAGAGAGGCCTGTAATTTTCATCATAGGTATACCTCAACTATGAGAGACAAAATGGAAAAATCCAGAAAATCACATTGTCTGATTTTTAAAGAATTTATTTGCAAATGGAAAAATCCAGAAAATCACATTGTCTGATTTTTAAAGAATTTATTTGCAAATGGAAAAATCCAGAAAATCACATTGTCTGATTTTTAAAGAATTTATTTGCAAATGGAAAAATCCAGAAAATCACATTGTCTGATTTTTAAAGAATTTATTTGCAAATGGAAAAATCCAGAAAATCACATTGTCTGATTTTTAAAGAATTTATTTGCAAATGGAAAAATCCAGAAAATCACATTGTCTGATTTTTAAAGAATTTATTTGCAAATGGAAAAATCCAGAAAATCACATTGTCTGATTTTTAAAGAATTTATTTGCAAATGGAAAAATCCAGAAAATCACATTGTCTGATTTTTAAAGAATTTATTTGCAAATGGAAAAATCCAGAAAATCACATTGTCTGATTTTTAAAGAATTTATTTGCAAATGGAAAAATCCAGAAAATCACATTGTCTGATTTTTAAAGAATTTATTTGCAAATGGAAAAATCCAGAAAATCACATTGTCTGATTTTTAAAGAATTTATTTGCAAATTCTGGATTTTTTTTCTCATTTTGTCTCTCATAGTTGAGGTATACCTATGATGAAAATTACAGGCCTCTCTCATCTTTTTAAGTGGGAGAACTTGCACAATTGGTGGCTGACTAAATACTTTTTTGCCCCACTGTAAATTAATAAACATTGGAATGCTTATTAAGACATTCCTCTGTTCAGTGCTGCTAGTGATCATCTAGATGCATCTTCGTTACGCTGAATATCACTAAGCCAATCAGGGATGTATTTTAATTTCCATTGATTGATAGGTTGATTGATTGATTTGATTTATATTCTGCTTTTATTTTGTGTAGCTCAAGATGTGCAATAATACATAATGCTCCTTCTTCTTATTTTCCCCATAACAACAATCCTGTGAGGTGGATTGAGCTGAGAGAAAGTAACACAGCTGGCTTCCTTGCCTAAGGGAGGACTAACGTTCTCCCAGTTTCTAGTCCAGTACCTTAATGACTGCACCAAGCTGACGTGGGTTTTTTAAAATTTTAATTTAGTTATTTTAAAAAATTGCAACATCCACTAAGATGATTAAATAAACATCTTATTTTTTCTCTTTCAAGGTAAATGAGTAGTAAGCAGAGCACATTAAGTTTTGGCATGTCTAATAAACTAGCCACAGGTCTTGAAGATTATTAAGTCAAATAAGTAGTATACTGACAAATTTTCATTTTTAATACATTCTGTGCCATTTGAACTCTACTGCAAGCAGTTTATGTGGTTCTTCACTGTTCAAATTGCTCAGATTTATGCCAGGTTTGGTGTCACTTAAGCAGTATAGTATCTAGGTGTCCACCACACTATTAATATCTGTCTGAATCAGTTTAGTTCTTTATCCCCTAAGAAAGTAGCTGAATAATCTATATTGAGAGAGGGGGAGTCTGACTCTGTAAATACAACCAGAAACTGCTGATAGTATTTGCTTGGATCAGTTGGGGAGTAAGTTGTATAAATACTTTCTGCTGTAAGGGACATTTTTTGGTGGCATAGTCAAACTAAAAACCTATGTGCTGTTGGAGATAGTTTGGGGAGGGAGATGGGGTCATCTCAGCATCTCCTTCAATATTCTTTTGAAAGAATAGGCTGTTTCTCTTATCATTAGAAAACTTCTCCTATTCTCTCTTTACACTGCTAGCATGATTTAAATTTACACTCTCAGAGAAGAACATATTGAAAGGTAAAATATTCCTTCTGCCTTTTTAAATAGGTCTTAATTGTCTCTTAGACTCAGATGCAATCTCAGAGGGTATTACTGCTTCAGGGTACAGAAAGCTTGAATCGAGCCACTCAGAGCATAGAACGTTCACAGCAAATTGCTGCAGAAACTGATCAAATTGGTAGTGACATCATTGAAGAACTTGGAGAGCAACGTGAACAGCTGGAACGCACCAAAGGCAGAGTAAGTTTTAAAAATGCCACTGTAACAGAATAGTCGGTCTTTCCTCTCCTATCAACAGACAGGCTTCTCTGACTTTTTTTAAAAAAAAATGTATTTCCACTCTCCCTGTACTTCCCTCACCCAGTATCACCCCTCTGTAGTGCCATGCTCTTTTATGAAGAGGAGAATGCAGAGGGGAGCATGCAGTGAAAGAGCAATCTTCAGCTTGTACAAGTATTTAATGTAACAATATAGCTTAAAAAACCACTTTTTCTTCTTCTGGCAGTAAAACAGAGATATTTTTTTTCTAAGCTTATGTGGAATCAAATACTGTTTTATTAAGATCAGATTTGATCTTCCTTAGGTATGTCTTTTAATTTATTTTAAAGATAACATTTCTGTCTTTTAATATACTGCTGAAATCTCAGAAACTAGATGGATGAATTAATACATAGTCTCTGTTATAACACATAAGATGGATCCTTAGCCAGCTCCCAAACTGCTGCTGCTTGTTTACCTGATCTCTTTGCTATTCACTATCATTTTTTTTCCCCACAGGAAGAGACCAAGAATTTACCTTGGATAGTGAGTTAGCTGGCCTAGGTGTCAGAAACATAATTCAGTAAATGACTATAAAAGAAAAAATATAGAAATAGATAAATTGAGGTGCATTGTGCTTCTTTAATTATTGTCACAGAATGTATGGATAGGAGTTGAGTTGACTGGATGCGTGCCAATCCTTACCTTAAAGTATAGGCCAAATTTCCTTCTCTAATGGCTGGTGTGGGTCTTCCGGGCTGTGTGGCCGTGTTCTGGAAGTTTTGTTTCCTAACGTTTCACCAGCAGCTGTGACCGGCATCTTCAGAGTGCAGGAGCAGTTCTCTCTGTGCTCAGGGTGATGTGACCCTTTTGTGGGTATTTATAGAGATCTGATTGGGGGGTTGGGTAATTGAGTGGCTGCTTGTTTTGGTGTCAGAATCTGTGTGTATCTTCCTGGGGATCAGGCAGGTTTTTTTTCCGGGCTGTGTGGCCGTGTTCTGGAAGTTTTGTTTCCTAACGTTTCACCAGCAGCTGTGACCGGCATCTTCAGAGTGCAGGAGCAGTTCTCTCTGTGCTCAGGGTGATGTGACCCTTTTGTGGGTATTTATAGAGATCTGATTGGGGGGTTGGGTAATTGAGTGGCTGCTTGTTTTGGTGTCAGAATCTGTGTGTATCTTCCTGGGGATCAGGCAGGTTTTTTTCTTCTATTGAATTGTTAACGAGGGGCTGCTGGGGGTGATTAGCAAGTTCATTGTGTGAACTGTTCACACGGTTGAGCTGGTGGTTGAGCTGAGTTCGTTGACCTTTTGCAGGCTGTATTTTTCAGGATTGGTAGCCA